AGCATGAGCTAATCATGGAGAATGAGGAGCAGACAGTGTTCAGAGAGGGTGAGACTGCTGTATCAACAGGAAAGGAGATAACGTGAGCAAGCAGAAATACCCCAGGTGTGATGATACATGCCTTTAATCCCAGAACTTGGGGGGGGGGGGGGTTGAGAGTTCTAGGCCCCTTTCAGCTACGTAGTGGAACCCTGTCTCAAAGAAGATTAGGATCAGAGGGAAAGAAGGAAGAAGGGAGGGAATTCAAGAAATAAAGCAATGGGAGACGAGAGCTGATTACACAAGCCCTGTGCCCTGTTTGCCATGAAAAGGACTATTCATTTTGCTTGGTGGAATGCCAGTGTATTCTATGTCCAGAGTATTTACGTGTTTTCAGTAAAATTCTATTCCTGAAAATTCTATCCCTGAAAGCTAAGGTGAAGGACTTACTTACATTAAGTACTTACGTTTCTATTGTAAAACTTGTCATTCCATGCTTATACCTAGCAATTTTGGAACCCCAGAGCACTGGGATTATAGATTTGTAAGCACGAAGCTGCTTTAATTGTTCATTAAGGATTGGACCACTCAATTTCAAGTGGTTGAAACATGTTGGCTTGAAAGTTAAAGTGACTGAACCTTCCTCAGATGTTTCACATTGCATATACAAATTTTTGCATATACAAATATACTGAATTTTCTTTTTAAGCATTTCAAACATCTTAAATCAATGGTTCTCGGCTTTGCTAATGCTGAGACCCTTTGTTACAGTCCCTCGTGTTGTGGTGACCCTCAACCATAAAATTATTTCATTGCTACTTCATAACTGTCATTTTGCTACTACTGTTGTGAATCAAATGTAAACATCTGATTTGTATCCCCAAAGGGTCTTGACCCACAGATTGAGCACACTGCCTTAAATGATCTCCCCAAATGACTTCACTATGAAAACCTCTCCCAGGACACTGTAAAAGGTTTGGAATTAAATCAGTTCCTTTAAAGAGCCCAATAGCTTTTGTGATTGAATTATTATTAATTTTTTTCAGAAGTGTAAGTATGATAAAATACATTTAAGTGTACGGAAGACAGAGACAGTAATGTCCAATGTCCCATACCTGTTTCAGGGTTGTGAGCACCTTTCATCTGTTTCATCTGTACCTTCATCACTTCCCTTTCTTATGTTATTCTAAAAGTTATAACAAAGATTGTCTTATTTCATCCATAGACATTTCAGTAGATATGCCTCCAAATTAGACCCTGTGTGTTAGTATGAAATATGAAAATATCATCAGCAGGACACAGGCCTCTAATCCCAGCACTCAAGAATTTGGAATATGGAGGTTAGTTGATCAAGACCAACTTGAGCTGCTAAGGAGTAGAACTCTGTCAAAAGCAAGTTTTCAGTTTTCATAGTGTACTTGTGTGCTTTAACTTTAACTAAGAGCTGAAAGCCTAGAATCTTTAATAATCCACGTTCATGTATATGTTCATATATTTACTCTTTACATGTTGATTTACCCACCACCTTAATTTTTCTTTATTCCTTGCAACGTTAGCTGTGTCTGCATTTTGCTGGTTGTGTCTCTGTTAGTGCATTTATGCTTTCTCCCCCTGTGCCTCCTGAAGATTGCTAATTGAATGCAAAGTTGGCTTTATTTCATTTGGTTTTTCTTCCTTAGTGTTTTTGTTTGTTTGCTTGCTTGCTTGCTTGCTTTTTTTGGTTTAGGGTAAAACTTGTTTCCAGATTACAGTGTATTTTTGTATTTTATTTATCTCTAGTTTGTGTGTATGAAGGTTTTGCCTGTAAGTGGGTATATGCATGCATGCCTGGTGTCTACTGAGGCCAGAAGAAGTTATCAGATCCCCTAGAACTAGAATTAGAATCCGATGCAAGGCCGTGCGAGTGTGTGAAAAACAAAGAAGTTTCCTAAGCAAGAGCAGCAAGTGCTCTTAACTGCTTAGCCATCTCTGTAGCAACACACTATATTCTTTTAACACGGGCTTATAATAGACATTTGACTCTCAATGGAAATACAGAGCTATGACTCTTTGGGATACAGGACAGACTGCAAGCAGCAAGGCATAAAAGCTCACCAAGCCTATTTTTCTATACCAATTTTACACCCTGCCTTTGCATCACCAGAAGGAAATGAATGAAAACCAAGAAAAAAAATTAAATTGAAAGAAAAAAATTTCCTAAGACAGAAATACACCCACTGAATCCTTTGGATGGACAAAGTGAGGGAAGAGAGAGGGAGGTTGTTTTTTTGTGTTATAAAGATCACATAAGCTGGAGGAGGGCCTGTCAGGGTGGGGATGGGGAAAGTGCTCCCAAGCACTAGAAGAAAGAAGTGATGGAAGAAGAAAAGAATCATGAGACCCACTAACTATAGAAACCTGATGATTAGTGTATGAGGGGCTGAAGAAGAGGAGAAAAGGATGGCTTGAAGCCTCAGTGGATGTGTGCATTATGGTGCTGTTCCTTGATGCAAGAAAACTGCTCTGGCTAAGGCTACAGTGAAGATGGAGACCTCATTTCTTGAGAGAATGCAAAACTGGCTGAAGGCCTCCAAGTTAGAGTAGGGATGGGGGAGTTCCAGACTCCTATATCTCCAGAGATATGAAACAATGGAGGTACACTCATGTCTCTAAAACTCAGAAGGGAGACCTGAGTTAGATAAATAGAGATTTCAACAGGGACATCATGAATGTTAAGATGTTACATGATGTTACAAGAAAATGAAGATAAGCCAAACTGAGAACATAGAGAAAAAAAATAAACAACAAACATCATTGCTTACAGGGGAAGCTAAACGAGCATAAACCCACAAAGGAAACTGGCAGTTGGTGGCCAGAGGGACAAGGAGTGGGCCAGGAAGTAGTGGGGGGGGGGTGTGAATGGCCACTATGGTCAGGAGCTATAAAGCAAATCTATGAAACTGATAAATAGGAAGTCTTAGAGTAGTTTTCAAGAATACATGGCAATACAAGACAGATAATGGTCAATGAAGAAATGAGGGAAGGGTAAAAATTAGAGCCAGTGAATATAGGCTTAAAAAATTGGCTGTTAGAAAGAGAATTGTCTTGTGGTGATGTAAAAGATTCAAACAGGCAGTTGTTGTTGGACAAATCTTTTCCTGAGGAGACAATACACTTATCTCATGCCCATGACAGAGCAAGGTCCAGATACCATCAAAATCTACCTTGGTATACCAATGAGGTTTTAATTAATTAATTAATTAATTAATTAATGTATTTATTATTTATACAGCATTCTACCTGCATGTGTGCTTGAGAACCAGAAGAGAGCACCATCTCATTGTAGATGGTTATGAGCTACCATGTGGTTGTTGGGAATTGAACTCAGAACCTTTGGAAGAACAGCCAGTGTTCTTAACCTCTGAGCCATTTCTCTAGCCCACCAATGAGTTTTATTGGGTCATATACAGGAATATGAGTGAGGGGTTACTTGGAGGACAGAAAAGATTCAAAGATAACTCCATCACCAAAGCCCACCCCACCATGAGTGAAAGCTAACCAAAGCTGGGATCCTAGAGCACACTGCACAACCCACGGGCAGCTCCACATGTTGGAGAGTGTCCTTTCCAAGTGACTCGGCTAGGCTGAACCTCTCTCAGGCAGCTGGGCTGGTTTCTGCTTCTGCCGGGCAGCTGGGCTGTTCTTAGAGTCTACTTTGCAGCTATGCTTGTGTGGTTGTCTTTGAAGCTTGGCTTGTTTAAGCAGGCAGAGCCCAGTGAATCTTATCAGTTCCAGGGACTTCCTGAAGCTATTTTGGTTGTTTGCCTTCCTGCGTGATAGAACGTGTGAATCTGCTAGTAACTGTTATGTAATAGCCCTGAAAATTTTACCTCTTCTTATGGGTAACAGTAACTTGAGCTGAAGGAGAAAACCAAGAATGAGATCTTATCCTAAGGGATAAGAATAAAGGAGAGTATAAATAACATGACAACACGAGGAAAAGGGAAAAACTTCTAAGAAGGTGGGTGTAACAGGACATGGGTGGACAGAATGGTGGGGAGAAGTTAAGTGCGTGTGGGCTATAGAAGTGTGTGTTCCAAGGGGATATATCTTGACAGAAATAATTTTCAGTTATTCCTGTTTTATCAGTAAAACAAAATACAAGTTTAATCTGATTCCCAGGAGCGAAAAAGAGAGCATTTTTGAGGAGAGTGGTAAAGGTTTTGAATGGGTATCATCAGAAAGCATGACATAGGAAAAGTAGACTAGAACGATGAGATCATTAGAGGTAGAGCTGAGACTGGCAACTGGTTATTCGTAATGTCCAGAGTCAGAAAGATTGACTGTTTTCTACACCGTCCCTAACCAGTCTTAGAGTAGGAATGGAAAACCTCGTGGGCTACATAAACCGCTGAGAATGTGTGAGCCCCTGTGGTGACACTGCTGCTAAGAACAGTTAGCTTAAGCACTTGAGGGGAAGGACGTACACGCAGTTCAAGCACTTGACGGAAGTAAAGCGGGTGGGATCTGTTTGAGGAAGAGGAGTAAGTCAGGGGTGGGAGCAACTCCTTCCTTTGTATGTGTCAGAGAACCAATCAAATGCTGGAAGAATCTCAGTTCTGACCAACTGACTGACTGCACAGCTAATGGGAAATATGTCAGCCTCCTGAAGCAATGGACCCGTTGAATGTGTCTACTATGAATGGATGGTGCTGTACTCAACCTTCTCAATACTTTTTCTTTTAAATCCACAGTAGCAGCATAAACATAAGACTAACATCTCTTCCAGTGATTTTTTAATTTTAAGTCGGCAAACATTAATTCAGTAAATCAGTCATTTTCCTGTTTATACTGTAATTACATCATTTGCCCCTCCCTCTGACCCTTTCTATATACCCTTCCTTGATCTCTTTCAAACTCATGACCTCTTTTTTTTTCTTATTAATCATTGTTAAGTGCATATATTATTGTATATTTTCATTTCAAGGTGAGCATCTACATTATTCTCATGTTTTGTTTTGGTTTTTCTTTCTTGTTTTCAGAAATCCTATACATGAAGAAAATCCAGATGGTGTCATGCACTCTGATGGTAAGGGCTAACATTTTAATTTTTTAATCTGAGCTACATGTTTGAATGAGTCAAATGTCATGGCATCTTTGATGGCCAGTTGCTATGACTGGCTTATGTAGGATCTTCTCCTGGCAAACTCGCAGGGGTCCTTTATATGCAAGATACTCATCCATGCCAACCTCAAACTTTTTCCAGTCTCTCTATTGTCTGTCAACTTAGTCCATGTTGTCTTTTCTCCAGCACAAATACAGTTTGATATTAACAGACTCATTAGTTGTTGTTGTTTTTTTGTTGTTGTTGTTGTTGGTTTTTTTTTTTTTTTGCTTGGAAATGTTTTTTTTAACTTTTTAAGAAAGTCTTTGTATCTAGGAAATGAACCAGCTCTTTATTTTATTTTTCCTACAAACATCACCCCTGGCGTTTAGGTCTTTGAGAACTTAGTAGAAAACTAGACTTGATCCCTCATATACATTGCCAATATTCTCCCTACCAAATTCAAAATAATTTATTCATTTCCTATTAATTTATAGTCCATACCTATAGTATTTCAGGTATATAGGAATGTGGGTATATGTGTGCATATAATATGTGACCATATGTAAATTTTTCTTAGTCTCAGTCTTAATTAGGGTTACTATTGCTGTGATGAAACACCGTGACCAAAACAACTTGGGGTGGAAAGGGTTTATTTAGTTTATTCTTCCACATCACAGTCCATCATCAAAAGATGTCAGGACAGGAACTCAAATAGGGCAGGAAACTGAAAGCAGGAGCTGATGCAGAAGGCATGGAGGGGTGCTGCTTACTTGCTTGCTCTTCACAGCTTGCTCAGTCTGCTTTCTTATAGAACTCAGGACCAACCCAAGAATGACACTAGTCACAATGGGCTGAGCCTTCCCCAATCAGTCACCAGTTCAGAAAATGCCCAACAGGCTTTCCCACAACTGGATCTCATGGAGGCATTTTTTTTTCAATTGAGGCTTCCCCCTCTCAAATAGTTCTAGCCTGTGTCAAGTTGATGTAAAACTATCCAGCATAGCTCTCTTTTCAATTCCTTTGTCCTAGCTATGTGTTTTAAAGCTATACTTCATTATTGTTTTATTATGGTTGGGGTTAATATTATTGTCTTATTAATCATAACATTAGATTATAATTGATATCTGGTAACATGTAAACGCTTGAGTAGTCTTTTTAAATTTAATCACCTTGACTTATTTGATAAAAGTAAATCCTCAAGAAAGAATTCACCAAAAAATGTGAACTATTTGTGATTGTTTCCCTTGTTGTACTTCACACAAGTGCATACATCAAATGTACTATGCCTACATAAAGCAAATAAAAGGTATCATAATTGTTTTTTACTTTTGCATTATCTTATGAATACCAGGGCACACATTATGTTGTGCTTTAAAATGTTAAGCTCTGTTATACTTTAAATTGATATAAGTATTATTTTATCCACTGATCAATTTTGAAATACTTCTTAATTGCAGTGTATTGTTTTGTTTTGTTTTTTTAATCCTTTAGGTACTGGAAATCTAGAAGAGGTCAGATATTTTTATTTCTCTTTTTCTATTTCTAAAAGTGGAATGTTTAACAATTATTATGATTCAGTTCCTTCTGTTATAAGCAGACAAATAAAAAGTTTTATGAGTCCCAATGGTATTTTTTTCCATTTCTAACCTTACTTACTTTAAATGCTTGAAACATATGCCAGTCAGTGTGCTGACTCATGGTACTGTAGTGCTGAACTTACATCTGGCTGCACAGCTAAATGACTGAGCAAGACAGAGAATAAGGTCTCCTTTATTTGGGAAAGAAAAAGAAAGAAACTTTCAAATATGCAAATTTAGGCTTCAATGTATAAACTCATAAACACTTATTTTAAAGAATAATTTGTCAATGAAATATGTGTGTGATCTTTTGGAATAATCACAGTTAATAATTGTCTGGGGTTTTTTTTGACAGGAACAAGAGAGTGAAGGAGAAACATATGAAGACATGTATGCATTGCACTTATTCCCATAAGAATTTTCTTCTAAGATGAATACAATGTTTTGTAAGAGGGCGCATGTTTATGCAAAAATACTAGGAAGGAAAAGCTTTATTTATGCAAATGGTTGGCACGTAATGACATCTGTTACTTTACTCCAAAGGACTAAAATTGGTTTACTTCTCCAAGGACTCTACATAGGACTCTGGTGATAAGCTGTCATGTGAGACCTGCAAGCCACTTGAAAGACAGCCAGGGAATAGACTCTAGAATCTGTATTTCTCTCTATTAGTGTTTCATACCTGCTTCATCCAGACACAGAGATATTGTGGAATGTGGCTTAGCATAGCACCCAGATGCCTATGTTCTAGTCTGCTGGATAGATATGAAAAGTGATTCCACAATAGAGTTCAAAATGGACCAAGGAATTTCTTAGAAACTGTCTTAGAGTTTCTATTGCTGTGAAGAGACACCATGACCATGGCAACTCTTACAAAGAAAAACATATAATTTGGGCTGGCTTACAATTTCAGAGGGTTAGTCCATTTTCATTATAGTGAAAAGCATGGCAGCATGTGGCCGACAAGGAGCTGGAGAAGGAGCTGAGAGCTCTGCATCTTGATCTGCAGGCAGTAGAATAAGACTGCCACTCTGGGCGTAGCTTGAGTATAGGAGACCTCAAAGCCTGCCTCCACAGTGACACACTTCTTCTAGCAAGGCCATACTTTCTAATAGTGCCACTCCCAATGATCAAGCATTCACAAACATGAGTCTGTGGAGGCCCTTCCTATTCAAACCACCACAGAAACTGTGAGAATAGGAGTAATCCTTTTCAATAGAATGCTGAGCTCAGGTATGTATCTTAGTTTAGTTTTGTCTACCTAATTATTCAACCAGTTCTCCAAATTAAACTAGTCTCTGAATTAAAAGTTGTATGAGTGATTGTGAGCGTGTGTTCACGCATGACCAAGGAAGTGAGAGGGTGAGATGCCAACATGCCAAGGACAAGAGCTTTTTCAAAGATGCCTTCCTCCTTGTGGTGCACACTGCAGGGGTGGGGGAGGAGTTGGGGCTGTCATAGAAGGTAATCCTAGCTGTGAGCCTCCTTCTGGCTTTATAAACATTCTCACACCTCCAGAATTTTTACATCTTTAGCTTCTTGCCTCATCTCCTCTTCAGAGAACGTCGTCTGTGGTGGATAGATACCTCTCTGTATGCCTAATTCTGACCTACAAACACCTGCACACAGAGCCACAACTTAACAATTTATATTCCCAGAGAATCATCCAAAGAACGAGACAAGAAACGGGAAAAGGAAGAAAAGAAGAGGTTAGAGCTAGAACGAAAGGAGCAGAAGGAGAAAGAGAAGAAAGAACAAGAATTAAAGAAGAAATTTAAAGTAAGGCCTTGCTTGCTGACCAGTAAAGCAATAGCATCATTTTGAAACTTTCTTTCTGTAACATCACAAGAAAAATTTACAAAGTTAGGGGGGGGGGGGTTCTTTAATTATTGTTTTAAAACAATATTTGTTTTTTGACCAATATACCACCTATCTCTACCATCCAAAATAAAACAGGATAAAAAAATCCAACTAAAATGTAATTATCTTATAATTCATTGGGTTCCCAGGGATTTTATGTTGACAGAGGAAATGACTACATCATTACTGTGTGCTATGAGTCTAGAACCACACACATAGACATCCCAATGGCACATTGCATGGTGATGCATTGGACACAGTGTTTCTGGGAGAACCACAATTCCTTTGAGCTACTAGAGACCCTGATATCTGGATCTGAGCTACACATTTACCTTTAAGCTTTGCACTTACTAATTTCTAAGACCTGCTTGTCTCTCATCTCTCTTTAAATGCCTCAACTTCTGACTTTTATCTTCTCTGAATTCTGGTAATGGTGTCACTTCTATGGCTACCACCACTACGCCACACCCACTGACTGAACTCTCTTGGCTATACCATCTTTAATGACATAAGCCATCTGGTATGTGGAAGTATTTAGAGTGATGATCTCAATTACAAAACTATTCTTCACTTTTAAAGGAATTTATAGTGTTTTCTTTAAATACTTATTCCTTTAAATATTTATTTCTCTGGAGGATTAGATTCATGGAATTACAAAATATGACTCATGTAAAACTTCTCAGTACATTTGTTATGTTAAAACAAAAGTTCAGCAGCATGATGCAAGGAAAACAATCCAACTTGCAATCCTTTGGACAGATGGAGATTCCAATCCCAGCTGCACATACAAATTCTGTGCTCTCAAGCTTATTGCTCATCTCCTCAGAGATTCAGATTCTTTTGTCTTTAAAGTGGATATAAGTGACATTTTTCTATAGTCTGTTATGGGATTAATTGAAATATTACATAAAAGCCACTGTACCTACTATGAGTTTTCATAAAATTTTTAAAGAAGGTTCCTATGTACAATTAAAGTTATCATTGCAATGTAAAAAGTAAAACATTTTACTCATACAGAATGAGTGACTACCAAGATACACATCTTGGTATAGTCTTCAGGTAAAAATTAATTTAATGCATAAAAATGTATATAGTGTACTTCTCATAAGAGATTGCTCATAGTTTTCAAGGATTTGAGATTAGTTTGGGGAAATATGTAATACATGATTTCACACATTCATTCAAATAATGTTGTTAAGAAAAACAGGTACAGAAGTCATATTAATATGTGGGAACCCAAGGGTTTGTCAAGTCTGTGACATTACAAGCTATATTTCACTCAGGTATTAATAGACACTTGTGTTTACAAATATGAGAAACCATCAGTATCATCGCATATCATAATTCAACATTTTTTGCTGACATATCAATGTTTATTGATACGAAAATTAATTCTACATTATTGAGAAATCCTTCTCAAAAACTGACATAACGATATGTATTTCACTGAAGTAGTAAGAAAATGTCAACAAGTAGCCAATTCACACTCTGAACACTGCATGGATTCAAGTCCAGTGCAGGTGCAGAAGATCTGTAATTCAAATTACAGATTGCTCACAAACAGGCCAACTGTAATAAAGCCAGCTCAGCCCCAAACCTTTCTACTCTTACTAATAAATCTCATAATTGGTACCGTAGTTGTCTATCAACCTAAGCTTTTAAAGACATTTTGATGTTACATAAGCACTATGTCACATAATTCACAACATAGACTCAATAAAACAGTTTCTTCCCCCCAAAGTCACAATCCATATTTATTAATCATAAGATGAGAGACACCCTATTGAAGATATTTATTTGGGAATAGAAAATTAGGATCTAGGGACTCATACCTTAAAGTATGTTATCCTCCTATTACTAAATCATCAAGATATACAGAATACTAATAATGAAAACTTTGCCTAGTATTTGTTTACTATCTTTGAAGTTATTTCTAAAATGCTATCTTATTTGTAGCAGGTAGTATTTATGATAAGCTTATACTCAAACAAGTAAAAGGAAGGAAGGTAGAAACGAAGGAAGGAAGGAAGGAAGGAAGGAAGGAAGGAAGGAAGGAAGGAAGGAAGGAAGGAAGAAAGAAAAAAAGAAAGAAAGAAGGAAGGAAGGAAAGAAAGAAGGAAAGAAAGAAAGACAGACAGGGCTAGTGTACATAAGTACATGTGTGGTGCCTATTTATTGGATGTTTTATCCCAGAGTTCTTTTGCACATCAGATCCTTATCCCTCTCTCATGAACCACAAACACATGCTCACTTGTTCTTTGTCAGTCTTGGTGCACCTCTGTGATTTCCCTTAACTCTTTCTTTTTGTATTTTTAAAAAATTCTTCTCTCATATATTCAATCCCAATCCCAGGTTCCCCTCTCTCCTCCCCTCTTAGCACCATTCCTACCCACTCCTTCTCCATTTCTTTTCAGAAAAATGCAGCCTTTGCATGGATATCAACCAAATATGGTATATCAAGTTTCAGTAAAACTAGGACCAAAAGTATTAAGGCTGGACAAGGCAACTAGTTAGGAGAAAAAGGGTCCCAAAAGCAGTCAAAAGAATAAGAGTATTTAACAGGAATGACAGTTGTTTGTGGGTTTATTGTCTTTCAAAATTATATTTCTTAGTGGTTTTCTGTTATGTTTTTCCATCTTCTTGTAGCTAACAGGCCCCATTCAAGTCATCCATCATGCAAAAGCTTGCTGTGATGTCAAAGGAGGAAAGAATGAACTGAGCGTCAGGCAAGGAGAGGAAATTGAAATAATCCGCATCACAGACAACCCAGAAGGAAAATGGCTGGGCAGAACTGCAAAGGGGTCATGTGAGTGTGCCTTTTCCAGTGTCTTCAAGACTTCAAGGGCTTGCTTTTTTCTTATTTCTGCCTCTCTCTCTCTCTCTCTCTCTCTCTCTCTCTCTCTCTGTGTGTGTGTGTGTGTGTGTGTGTGTGTCTGTGTCTGTGTGAATTTTGCATAACATGTTTTGATCATGTTCTTTTTCCCTCCTCCAACTCATCCCAGATCCAACCCCTTTTCTTTTCAACCAACCTTGTGTCATTTCCCCCCAATTATGCTACTCAAATATTCTTGGATGTGTGGCCTTTCACTGGAGCCTGGTCTACATCAGGGGCTATCCTCTTAGAGAAAACGGAGGCTTCCTTTCCTGACAATTACCAGGCATGTCTTACTTGGGGAGTGGAACTTCATGCTTGACTCTTCTCTCATGCTGGGATTTGATTTGTCTAGATCTTGACAACTCTTATGAATACTGTCATAACTGCTGTGAGCCTGTTTGTACAGTTGCCCTGCTGTGTCTGGAGGGCACTTTCCTTGTAATTGTCCACCATTTCTGGTTCTTAAACTCTTTCTGCCACTCTTCAGCAAAATCCCTGAGATATTTAAAGTTGGGCATTTTGTAGTCTCTTAGTCTCTACACTTTTGCCAGTTTTGGGTCTCTGTGTTGATTTTCATCTGCAAACAGCTTCTCTGATGAGAGTTACAAGATGCCTAAATCTGTGGATATGATGATAAGTCCTTAGGAGTTAGTTCAATGCATTTATCAGAATAATCGTCATAGGTTCTCTCCTAAAGTGTATGATCAGCCTAGCAATAAGTTTCTTCTGAGTTAGATCCTTCCAGACATGTATGCTGCTTGTGAGGAATATGCTACTGAGTAAACAGAGAAAGAGAAAAAAGAAATCTAAAATGGCAAGTGTATTTAATATTTAGTGAGGAGCAATGTAAAATTTTACAAAAGTCACATTAGCATCTTCAGACTGAATCTTGGCTCACTTTGAATAACCACAGAGTAAGCCTCTGACAGAGTACATAGAACTTGTGGCTACACAGAAGTTCTGTAAGTCAATATTGCAAGCAAAGACACCTCTTTGATGTTTAATGAAGTGCCTTTGTTTGTATGCATGCAAGCGTGCATGAGAGGCACATGCACAGCTTGGGAGCCAAATCCAAGGCTTTGGGTATGCTAGGCTCCTTCCCAGCCCTAAAGAGAAATCTCTAAGACTAACTGGACAACTGATACTTTATACATCACTCCGAAGTGTTTGAGTTCTGGTTGCCTGGGCCTCTTTCTGCTTTTGGTAGACGGTTATATTAAAACGACTGCCGTTGAGATTGACTACGACTCTCTGAAGCTGAAGAAGAACACACTTAATGCTGTTCCGTCGAGACTTGTTGAAGATGACCAAGAGGTCTACGATGATGTGGCTGAGCAGGATGCTCCTGACAGGTGTGTGACACATGAACAGTAAGCAGATCACCTTCTTCTTGCCAGACATCATGTATTTCAAGATTCCACAATTTTACCTTCCATGTCACCTGATGCTCTCTATCACTAAACCAAACCACCATGTCTAACAAACCCGGTGTGAGCACAAGGGCCAGGCGACACCTGCTGTCTTTTATTTTACTTGTTGGCCACACACATCAAGTGTTACTAGAAACATAATGAGCCAAATAATTGTGTTAAATGTATTGTCTGCTACAAAGAACTTTTATCATATTCATTATGATTTCATAATAGAGACATGCCTAAACTGGTATGATTTTAGAAACTACGAAGCCAAAGATGTAAAATATCACAAACAAACACACTTTTCCACCCTTAAATCTCTGAGTCTAAATACATTTCCTGCCATTGCTTGCAAATATAACAGGAAAGAGAATGGCTTCCACTACCACTCTGGTATACTGAAAAAAAAAAAAAAAGAGGTCAAATCTCAATCCCCTACAATCTCTAAATATTAATTAAAGGTCCAACTTCCCAGTGTCTACTCACTCCACTACGTTAGAGTGGTATCTCCTCCTAGAAAAATAAGCACACTTCCGTGGAGCAGAGGAGCAAAACCAAAACATCCTGTTTGGAGAAGGAGACCAAGGCCATCTTCCCCCACATGCCTGCCTAGTAGTTTCTCATGACAACACTTAAAAATAACTGAATTCCATCTGACACCAAACAAGTGCAGGCACTACACACAAATATAAATAAATTCACCCTACGGACGAAATGAACATGTGACCGCCCTGCTCCTAGGGCGTCACATTCCTGAGCTCTTGGATATGAGCGTCCCCGGGAGGAAACGCATTCACCAGGAATATCCGCCGTCCAGAATGCAATTAATTTTAAGCATTGCCTCGTTTGTGTGGGAAAGTGGCAGAGAAAACAGATACGAGGGTGGACAGCAAGGAGGATGTGCCAGCTACTTCACAAATCGACTTCTAGATTATGGTGCACATGCTCTCTGTGTGATACGACTTTCTACAAAGTTCCATTGACGACAGTATGCTTTTATGTCTAAATTAACCAAAGATCTGTATCAGACTGATTTTTTTTTTTTTTTTACTGGCTTGTAAAAGGAACATTAAAATTGAAATTGAGCACCAGGATATAATTGTCCTGTATGGTGATCATATCAAACTTACCCTGTTGCGGGTACCTTATACCAAAGGTCAACATGGGGTTGGGATGTTCCTAGGTTCAAAAGGGCCAAAACCCTGGGAACTGTGAATTCTTCCTTGTGAAATGAGAACTGAACAAGTAGACAATGTCTTGAGTTTTTTCAGTGCCCACACTTGGCTCTCACACAACTCACACGAAGAGATACAGACCAGAACACATGACTATGAAAGGTAAAATAGAAAAAGTTCTGACTGTTAGGGAAATAAGTTAAAGCTAAAAGCAACCCGGGTTTAGAGGAATAAAAGTGCTATCAAGATATCAACTTAAATTGTTTACTTTTTTTCCTTAAAACAAAGTTTAATGTGTAAGTTTAGATTTTTCACACACCTACTTTATTTAAGGTTCTTAAACACCTTTACTTCCCTTCCAACCCCCAGACCTTAGGTAGGAAACTAGTAGGGAAAGGGGCTGTAGCCCTTTTTATTATCTACTCCCTGTTGATGAAAGGTTGATGGGTCCTTTGGGAATTACCAAACTCAGTCACCAGGGTACCAGCAGTCTAGTCAAACAGCAAAGCAGCAGCAGCAGCAGCAGCAGCAGAACGCAGTGGCTAGACTCTGCCCAAATGGCCAGAGTCCACCGAAGCAGCCCAAGAAGTTCTCTGGGCTGTTTCTCTCTGAGGAAGACCAGTGAAGGATTCAAACCGCAGCAATGCAAAAGGGAAGAGATGCAGAAAGCCTTGTCTCACTGTCTGTGGGCTTCTATTTAACCCTTCTCAAAGTCCACAAGGGGATATTTTACAGCTCACAAAACCCACGCCCCTCATACAAGGTAGCTTTCAGCTGACCAACATCACACACCCTCTCACGAGGGTTCTTTTCGGCAAGGGAAAAACATTTCCACATCCCACACTTGGAACCAAAACAAAAAAACATGTTCACATGACACAACTGAGTTTCCAAAGAAACCAGAAACTTCTATTTCAGTGATAATATCAGATTAAGAATTAGGTACTGTAGAACTAAGATGCTGAAAAAGAGTTGAATTGAAATGCAGTGATAATTGTCCTAATTGACTCCTAAAATAACACAGTTTCTAGAGTAATTTTAAATATAATGTATAATTACAGAAAACTGCCTAATGGGAAGGTTATTAAACTCAAGCGGCATGATTGTTGTGATCCACAGTCCTATAACTCTTTGTTTCTTGCTGTTTGCTTATTGGTTATATAGTTGCCTCATCACTATGTATGCACTATAATTCACGTTCTCCTTGCTCTTGATATCTTACATCTTGGTTTTAAGTAGAATGTTAATTTTATGGTCTTCTCAGTACTTGAATTTCCCTTTTTGAGAACTAAATAATTCACACATTTGTTATTTCTGTTTTGTTCTTAGCCACAGTCAGAGCGGAAACGGAGGTGAGGCTCAAGCTTTCTGTTTGTAGTCTTGAATATGTTTGAGTAGGTTAATGACAAAACGCTTTAATTTGCTAACAGTAAGAGAATTTTTTAATATACTTGTACATTAAATGAAGAATTTAAGCTATAAGTTTATTGGTGTATAGCCACTATTCACAGTACTTATTTCCATAAGAACATTTCTGTACGAGTGTGTAATGAACTTTATCACATTCCCCTCAACCCTCACCTTTCCTCCTCCTCCCCTTAATTTCCTTTGTTCCCCTAGACAGTTTCTCTTCTGCTTTCTTGTCATATGTGCACAGGTGTTTTTATGTATCTGGATAGGAACCAGAAATGAAAGAATCAGGAGGATCCTAAGGGGGAAAAAGAACCGGGAGTGAGGCCATTACTTCTGTCTTCCAGATTTTCTGTGAATCCCAGTGTGACCCCCACTGTCAGGGGGCCTGGGAGGGTCCTTGGTTTCTGCAGACTTTCTGAGCACAGTTAAGAATAAACCTCCCCCTTGACTTCCAGGACTGCCCCTGTCTAGGTGCAAACTGTACAGCTACCTTGACAATGCCTCCTGAAGACCCCTTGATAACAAAGAGCCCACATTCTCACCCTGAACATTATATTTTAAGGTTATTTACCTTCACATAGAAAGTAGCCAATAAATATTTGTTAAGTAAATTTTTATCTAATAGCAAAGTTCCTAAGAGCACAGCATAACAAATAAAACATAAAAGGGTTTCAGTTATATATATAATATATATATATATGTGACTTTTCCTTTTGTAGTTTCTTTTGATTACAATTAGTGTTTATAGATTCACCTACCATTCCATTTAATTTTCATAAATGGTGTCTTAGTCTTCTCTTAAAAGTCTACTCACTGTTAACTAAAATTTTTTTACCACCTCCTCACTTTTTTTTCATGATATCTAATTCTGCCTCCTATACCATATTACTTTTTCTTATATTAATTCTCACCCATTTGTTTTACATCAAGTCCAGAGTGTCCATCATCACTCATTTCTTTATTATTGCTTTGTCCCTACAATGCTTTAAAATAACCATAAAGTAACTGATTTATGAACTAGCTGTGTGATACTGGGAAAATTTTGTTTTCTACTTAAATGGCAAATATGAAAGAGGGATGCTTTCTGCAATCAAATTGGGAGAAATTGTATCAAAATCAGAGTGACTTGTATGTAACCAAATTGCACAACTGACAAAAAGTTTCCTTCCTAATCTAAACAAAGGGATGTTCCCGCCACCACCAGATGATGACATTTATGATGGGATAGAGGAGGAGGATGCTGATAACAGGTAAGAATAATCACTGAATTGCTTTTTTTTTTTTTTTTTAAAAAAAAGATGTTACTTATATGCAAATTTAGTTCTCATTTCCAGATAAGATAAAAAAGTAGAAAATATTGTTCTTATTCAGTCCTAAAATTATGTGAAGTTTAATTGACAATAAGGGTAAGTCAAAGATAATTGTATCACATTGCAAATGAAATGGTAGATTAGAAAATTTTCAATTATGAAAAAATGAGAGGAAAAGAGGACAAATTATAAGTGTTGTGGTTTTTTTACAAACATTTTTCAGTAATTGTCTATTAATCAATAATTTACTTTTACAACCATCTCTAGAGTTTATTGGTCACATTGCAGTGATGTCTTCTGTATAATAACATAATTACAGCTGGGTGTCAGGGTTCACACTTGTAATTCTAACACTCCAGAGGCTTAGCAGAAGGATCAAATGAACCCGGGCTTTCAAGGCCAGTCTTAGCTGCTTAATAAAGCCCAGGCTAACCTGGGGTACAGGGTAAGAGACTGTTTCAGGTAAACTAAGACCATTTGATAGCTATAATAGTTTTTATAGCAGAATGGTATGAATATCTAATCCTTTGCTTAATAATAAATACCTCTATTTTTATAATAATAATTTATAAAATATTTTGAGTTAATAAATTTTCTTTCCATTTTAAAATAGCGTGTTTAAGACCTAGTATATATTTTACTTTAATCAAAAATAATACCAAGTAGATCTTTTTAAACTTAATTCTAGCTGACTTGATCTAGCTCTATGTTTTAGAAACCTTTATGTTTAGTGAATAAGTAAAAAAAATGACCAGCCTACTGAAAGAAATATTGACTCACCAGAATTTATAAACTTAACAGCACCGTATTATTGGCTACGATGATCTACTAACTGGTCAGCATAGGATAATTGTTGAAGCTCTGAATGTCCATACAATGTCTCCATGGTTTGCTGATTGTTGCATTCTGATCAATGCCTGATACTCCAAAGATCCATGCTGCAGGTTGAAGAGAAGACTAATACGTGGTCCTGGGGCATTTTGAAGATGTTAAAGGGAAAAGATGACAGAAAGAAAAGTATTCGAGAGAAACCTAAAGTCTCTGAGTCAGACAATAATGAAGGTTCATCGTAAGAGTCGGCTGACCACCTTCAGTGCACTATAACTACACTAATATTGGTTTAATTGAACGCTACTAATAACCTGTAACCAAGGAGTGGATCCTGATGAACTTACACCACTTTACTGTTATTTTCCATTAATCATCTTACACTCATTCCTAGTGAGCACTACTTACCTCAGAGGACCCCAGTTATTCAAAATAATGTGATTCTAAGATACTTTTTCCAGCAAACTCGCATGAAGATATATATACAACCTGCATATATTCTCTCTCTCTCTCTCTCTCTCACACACACACACACACACACACACACGTGCGCACACACTCATACATACTCAAGTACACACAGTCATTCACGAATACACACCATTTAGTAGGATTTCTCTCATTTGCACAATCATCCAAAATTTTCCTTTCTGATTGGAAGCCTACATTTTACTACATTGTGTTTTATACTGACTACTTTTAAAAATCCATGTTCTTTATTGAGTTAATTATGTTAAACTACAGGACATAACTTAAAATTTTTCTCCGAATATAATGTTGAAAAATTTTATAACTGTTCTATAATGGTAATTTATTAATTACCTTAACTATATACTTATAGAGATTTACTCTCAATATTTCAAATTTATCTAAATAACTAGTACATAAAATTTCTCTTCCCTTTCAGCCTCAAAACAGCCTCTTAGTATAAATTTCACGTATATGAATTTAAAGGATTTTAATCGTGGTCTCGGGTACAGAGGAATCATTCTGTTTTGCGTTTTTAATGTGTTCACCACATTTAACTGAAACCCGTATAAGTTGTTTTCACACAGCATTCCTCGTTTTCTCTCTCTTTTTTTTTTTTTTGTAAAGCACCAAATAGCAGTCAATAAATGACACACAATTTTGCAAACAGATAGTAATAAGTCTTCTTTTGAGCAACGTTGCTCAAATATAACCTTTACTTAGGGTTAGAAGAAGAGTCTTTTTTGCCTTGTTTTCACACCACCAAGTTCTGATTTGGGGTTATTTGAGCAAATGTCCTCAAATTGTACTGTGATTGATTATTCCTGTGCTATACGTGAATCTTTCAGAAGTGTGTGCATGTGTGTGTGTGTGTGTGTGTGTGTACATATGTATATGTGTGTGTGTGTACCTGTCATGGTTCAGAAAATAATAAAAGCAAACATCTTTTTCTGCCTCAACTAAATGCTACCTAATCTTGGTTCCCTCCCACTCCTGACCCTGTCTAGTTTAAATGTGCATTCCTTTCTTATTCATCATTCTCCAGTTTGGTATAGAAATATACATACCGGAGACGTGCAGCCATATTCCAACAACTGCTGCTGATTTTGACTCTATAATTTCAGTCCTTGATTCAAATAAACAATTTGGGTCAGATCTATGGAAAACACGAGGCTCCAAAGTACTGAGTCCATTTTAACTTACTCTGGTATGGTAACATGACCAAACTTTAGAGCAAATCTGAAATATTGGTCTAATGATTGTGGGCAACATAAAACAACTGTCTTCACACTTCATTTTATTTGAACAACAAAACTATTTTCAAAAAATTCCAAATTGATGGTTAGAAATCAGTGGGGAATGGAGGATAAGAAAGGTATGATGATCAACAGATTAACCCACGTCACACCTCTAGAATATTGCCTTCCACACCTCCCTCATGTAAAGGAATTAATTTCAAGATACATATTACTTTGATTTTTAACTATATTCTCTTTTGTTTTCAGTTTCCCTCCTCCTCCTAAACAACTAGGTATGTAATAAAAATTAATGGTGTATTTTACAAATTATTTCTTATACATGAAGTAGAGGGAAGCATTGAGTATCGCTCCTGTACCTGCTTTAAGTCCTGACTGCAAATAATAAATATGTCCCATTGCACAAGCAATTTCACCCTAGATGACTCCAACTACCCAACAATAGAATAGCAGACCCATAAAAATAAAAAGAAAATTCATGTATTAGATACTTCTCTTTTGTTGTGCTAAAACATCCTAACATTCCTCCCAAAAGCAGCATGATCATGCCTGTCCCAGCAGTAGCTGCTCCTGGGTACCAACTTCTGTATTAGTTGCTTTTCTAACACTGTGATACACCTTGATGAAGGCTTGATGGTAGGAGTAAGAGGCTGAGGGTTCACACCTTGAACAACATCACACCTCAGGCAACAACAGAGCTCAAACTGGTAGTTGAACATGTCTTTTCAACTCTCAAAGCCACTCCAGTGACAAACATCAACAAGGCCATACCTGCAAAGCCTACCCAAACAACTGGGGACCAATTGTTCAAAACCCTGAGGCTGGAATTAAAGGCATGTGCCACCACTGCCTAACCCATGGCTGCTTTTCTACCCATGCTATTTTTTATCACTTGATATATATTATTTAGAGAAATAAGATTTGCCTTTGAGAGGGTTAGAGAGATGGCTCGGTGGTTAAGAACACTGAATGTTCATCCAGAGGTCCTGAGTTCAGTTTCTAGCAACCACATAATTTAAATAAATCAGAGAAAAAGAAAGGTTTGCTTTTGAAGGCGATACAATTTACAACCATACTATCACTGTAATGTATTCCATTAATGTAAATTAATGGAACAAATCATTGAAAGAAGATGATGGATGATAGATGATGGCTAGGTGGGTAGATATATAGATAGATTATAGGTGGATAGATAGATGATAAATAGGTAGATAGATGATATAGATAGATTATGGATGGATAGATAGATAGATAGATAGATAGATAGATAGATAGATAGATAAGATCAACACGATATAGATAGATTATGGATGGATAGATAGATAGATAGATAGATAGATAGATAGATAGATAGATAAGATCAACACAGAGATATACAAATAGGATGAGTGCCCTAGCTTCCCATATCATAAAAGAATTCCCATTTACTTTCTAATGCCAATGCCCCAACGAGTTGTCTTCTTTTTACACAGTTCTGAAGTCCTGCCATTCATGCGTTGATTACACTGGTGGAATTTTAGAGTCATTACACTATTCCAGTTTTTTTTTTTTCTAAATAATGATGGTTGTAATTATATTCACTGGTTTCCGTTGTTTTCTTTGTTCACTTATTATCTAAAGTTGAATACTCACACTCAAGAAGGTAAGGAACTTTTTCCTCTCTTCTTTCTTTCTTTCTTTCCTTCCTTCCTTTGAGAAGCAGACAATACCTTCAGTAGAAATTTATTCAGACACTGAGAAATCTTCTACTGGCTATAGAGCAGTCTTTAGCTTATAAAACATCACTGAATATGTATTTACATCAAAATGTAAATGAACAGTGTTTCACTATTGATATTCTGTCTTTTATTAGATGTGGGAGAAGAAGTTTATGATGATGTGGATACCTCAGACTTCCCTGCTCCACCTGCAGAGATGAGGTCATTAAAAATGCTTTCATTACAATGAACTATTGACAAGGAGACTTCTGAACAGCATTGAACTGGAGTAAAAATCCAGACTGGTGTATGTGTGCGGTGTGCGGTCATGTGACCTCTGCTGTCCTTTTCTAAAGCTATGCTTATTTCTGATCACAGCTCTCACCTCAGAGCTAGGTTTGTGAGCAAATTATCCTAACCTTTTCTCTTCTCCCCATCCTCATCCCTTCCCCTGACTTTGGTTCTGCTGGTTGTCCCTTCTGCTGGTTGCTGTTGACTCACTTCTGTCTATATTCACTCATTTCCTGGGACCATACTGCTCACAAGCCATTTCAATGATTCATCTTCCCTCTTATTTTTACCCTTTTCCCAAACTTTTTTCCCCTTGAATATGCTTTTTTTCGACCTCAGCCCTTTGTGATTCCTCAGTTTTCTTTGTCATGATAACTCAGTTTCTACTGTGAAAAATGACAGAATTAGTTACTTAAGAGGACTTTAATGTACTTTTTGTTCCCGAAAGCATTAGAGTCTCAAAAGTTTCATGTCAATTTTTTTTAAGTTAACTGTGAACAATAACTTCAGTTTACTTGAGGTTCACTTTTAACTTTAAGGTTAAAAGTATATGAAAAGTAGTAAAGATCACTTAGCATTAAGGGAACGCCTTTTGAAAAATTCCTTCTGATGTAGAATATAGTGTGCTAGAATACTTGCTTGTTTTTTAATATCTACTTAAGGTGATTTGTGTACAAGAGCTAGAAAACTTTGGCAGTGCACTCAAAAAAGAGATGGGTTAAAAGACAGTATAGTTGATTAGTTAAAAAACAAAAAATAGTATTAATGACTCAAGTTATGTCCACTGAGCTGTACTTAAGAACACATGAGGGAGCTTCAAGTATTGACTCTTACCTAAGCCAATTTTACTCAACCACAGACAGTATCAAGATCAAAGAAGCTGGAGGGAAAATGTGCCGGTGTTCACAAATGAAGATCAAGTTCTACAGGCAAAACAAGAAAGCAAGATGAAAGGAGATTCCCTTCCTTTTAGTTGTCTGTGGAAGGAAAATCTACCCTTAGAAACATTCATTTCAATATTCCTCACTACCAGGACATTGTGCCTATGTCTCATGGGCTTCAATACATCTTTCTGTTTTATAGTACTCAAGAAACACCTCCCCATTCCATTAGCTCTGCAGGGACTGAGAGTCACATCCGGCCTTTATCTTGGAGCAAAATAAGCTGCATCTAACTGAATTTGATCGGATATGACCGGTGTTTTTTTTGTTTTTTGTTTTTTTCCTTACCAGTTGCTTATTTTCAGGAATTAAAACAATTCTGTTTTTAAACACAGTATTCTATTTTGGAATAAGTTATTTTCAAAGATAGCTTGTGGGGCATTTTCAGCATTCATCCATGCTCTGACCATCCCAGAGAGCTAATCTGGGCCAGCAATTTTACCAATCCCAGACTATGAAAGGCAGGAGGTCCTGAGGATAGATACAGGATATCGGGTGGGCAATGGTCCTCGTTCTTTTCACAGTGAACAAGATAAATACTAAGATAAATAAATAAAAAGGATCAAACATTTTCAAGAAGACACAAGCAAAGTTTTTCTAGATAATCAAAATGAAAATTAATATCAATGTTAAATTTCACTATTCACAAATATTCTTGTGCCTTTTAAAAAAAAACTCTCTTCTATGGAAATTCACACTTCTTTCTAGTCATCTGTATTGAACTTTTATATTCTAGGGAACAATTTAATGAAATAGCTAAGGTAGTTATTGTCTATTAGCTATTGTCTCTAAGATGTTCCCTCATAATACTGAAAATAGTAATTTTACATAAATGCTTTTCACTAACCAATATTTTCTGTCTTCTGTGTTGCCTCCATTTATTTATTATTTCTTTGCTGGAGATCAAGTCTAGGGTGTTGTATGTGAGTAGTGCTCTGCCACTGAACTCCATCTTTTCCCTCATCATTCCATTTGAATTAGGTGTGAAAATATTAAGATAGATAAGTTTTATCTCTTTTATTTATGACATAACTTAGTTCTTTAAAAAAAAGCATCCTTTGAGTCGTTTTAATAACATTATCTCTGTTGCTCAATTTTCTAGAAAGAGCTATGAAATATTCAAGTTTAGGTTTAATCACACGAAACTATAATATGCCATCATATTTCATGTTATTTAGTTTTATTATAGGTTCAATATAATAGACCTTCACTTATAGTTCAACTCATGTGTATTATTTTAATGAACCCCTTCTATATGTCAGAAAGTCATCATTGATTATAATGATAAGTACTGAGTTAAACACAACATTGAACAAAAATTTATTATTACACGTTGGGCATGGTGACATATGACTTTAATGCCAGCACTTGGAAGGGAGAGGTAGATGGCTCTCTGAGAGTTTTAGGCCAGCCTGGACTACATAATGAGTTCCAGTGTATATAAGAGACCCTGCCACAAAAAAAAAGAAAAACCACAATTGAAAATTTTAATGTTAAGAATCAAGTCTTCATTATGATCTATTCTTCTCTATTAAAGCATTGGTTTATCTGTGTTCTCTCACCCTAGTCAAGGAATTAATGTTGGGAAGGCAAAAACAGAAGAAAAAGATTCAAAGAAGCTAAAAAAGCAGGAAAAAGAAGAAAAAGAGCTCAGGAAAAAATTTAAGGTATGTAATATTTAATACCAATCAGAGTCAAAGTACTGATGAAAAAATCCAAAATATTCAAAATGACAAAATATATGCTTTTAAAGTATGGTTAACAATGTTATCGTTATTTCTCATAACTTTTCTTTGTTCTATATGTTTTAAATAATGTATTCCTATAATAAATTAAGCAAGTAACCATGCATGCTTATATCCTCTATGCTCTAATAACCATTTAAATTTTGCTGTCCTTTAAACTTTGATAAAGTGATAATCTATAAGTATTTCTTATGTTATGTTAGTGAGGTTTGAGTTGATGTAATTACTGTCTTTATAGCTATGATAAAATAGCCTAATGCAAGCATCTTGAAGGATAGAGAGGTACTCTCTTCATACATATGATAAAATAGCCTAATGCATGCATCTTGGAAGACAGGGGTTTCTTGTGGCTCACAGTTCTAAGCTACCAGCCACCATGGAGAAGTCCCAGAGACAGGAGTTTCATGGAGCTGGTGACAATGCACCTGCTGTCATGAAGCAGAAAGAGATAAATGAATGCACGCTGGTGCTCAACTTGTTTTCTCCATTGATACAGTGCAGGACTCCTGGTCCCAGGAATAGTCAAACCCATACTTAACAGAGCTCTTCCTGTATTAATTACCAAATTGTAGATAATCCACACAGGCATTTACAGAGCAAAAAGCAAACAAGCAAACTTCGTAATAAATCTGTCAATAAACGAATTATTGTAATAATACACATTAATAATTTGATTATTTTTTCAGTACGATGGTGAAATTCGAGTCCTATATTCAACGAAAGTTGCATCCTCCTTAACTTCTAAAAAGTGGGGACCTAGAGATCTGCAGATAAAACCTGGGGAAGTGCTTGAAGTTATACAAAACACCGACGACACCAAAGTTCTCTGCAGGAATGAAGAGGGCAAATGTAAGTCAGCCAACACCGCCCTGTGCCCTTCACAGCCACGCTGGTGGCAGAGATTGCGCCTTTCTTCCGACTCGCTTTGCTCTGCGGTTTGTATGGGACACGTTAAGAAACCAAGCATTCTCCTAGGCTGAGATTGATAAATTCTATTTTAATGCCTTTTGGGGTCTCTTGAGGTTATAGCATAATTATATTATTTCCCTCCCTATCTTTTCTGTCTCCAACTCTTGCTCTCATTCAAATTCATGGCCTCTTTTTCTTTAATAGTTGGTGTATGAGTGCTGGTGTGTGTGTGTGTGTGTGTGTGTGTGTGTGTGTGTGTGTGTGTGTTCTTCCCTGGAGAAGACTCCTTCTCCCACTCTCAGAGTTCCGTCATCATCTTTTAGAAATAACAGTGAAGGCTGAGAGTGCTATCAGTGGCAGAATACAGGCTGGAAAATGAGAGCAGAAACATTGCATAAACTCCCTGTGCATTAAAGTCAAGAATTTCATGTACATTTTTTTTTTCTCAGTGATGTAGTTGTGATTTCTAAGCTCACTGATAACTTCTTCAATTCTAGATACTCTGAAAGTTTTATCTCAACAAGATGACTGTGTAAATTCTCCCTGCTGTGTAGTGTTTTTTGTTTATCAGAAAGACCTTCTTTAGGTTGTATTCGGTTTCAGCTTGACTTCCTCATTTCGGAGGTGACTGTTGTGTGGGACTAGATAATGGTTCACCCATTCAGAGCTCTTACTGCTCTTCTAGAGGACCCAAGTTCAGCTCTCAGCACCCACATCAGGCAGCTCACAAACAACAGTAATCCCAGCTCCAGGGGATGCAGGAACCTCTTCTGGCCTCCACAGTATCTGCAGTCTTGAACTCTAATGCTGCTATGACTGCTGTCAGTTACTGTGTCACCAAGTAGTGAACAAACTGGGTATGTATCCAGGAGATTAAACAAAAGGTTAAAGGATGTTCCTAGGAGGTGTGATGGTATTCAGGATGTTGAGCAAGCTAATGAAGAATTCTGGAAGCCAGAGAAAAGCCCTTTGTAAATTGAACAAAATAGCCAGATAGTAGCAGAAATTTGGTTCAGTGGCTACTCAAGCAATTGGAGAGGGAGGGGAACTAACGAGTATTTGAGACTGACTTTCAGATTAAGTATTATTCCAGAATGATTGAATTAGTGTGCCTATTTAATTTCACTTTTTGCCTTTTCAAACTTTTTGCTTTTCTTAGTTTTTATGAAATTCTGTCCTTGTTTACTCCCCTCTTGGCCTGGATGCTTGATCATTCTTAATTATCTTAATTTCTGGTCTATTCTCCATACACTCACTAAGACTTGGGATGATTGCTGCAGAAATTTAACCCACCCTCCTCTAGGTCACCACAAATGGCCTTGTAAATAGTACCCATCTTTCCCACACTCTTGGCCAGTCTACTCACATCTCTGTTAACCTGTTAACCTAATATTCTCAAGACCACACAGTCCTTAGGCTACCATATAATAAATGCCTTTCATGATCCAACCTCGTGGACAACTGCAGTTTGTTATCTAAAATTGACATCATAAGCACAAAGTACATGTCTGTCGGTCCCTGAATGAATTATGCTGGTTCAATCCCACTGTGCTATTTTATTTGACTTGGAATGCAATTATCATTAATTAAAAACAACTCAGGTGTCATCTAAAACTGGAAGCATCCTTCCTCCCAACTCCCAGCTCTTGCAGCACAATGAATCGTTCCCCATGACAGTGCTTTAAGTTCTGAGTAATTTGTTTCACCAATCTGCTGCTCTTGTTAGACTCTGAGCTCACACAGAACTTCATTGAAGTGTGCTTGATATTGGATGTACCAGTTGCCAGCACTGGTATGTCTCTCACCTTGAGTGGGGTTTGGTAGATTCCAAGGAACACTCTAGATTTCTAATCTAACCACCAGATAAAAGCCTGACATAAATACTGCGGAATATTTTAACTGGTTAGCAGCAGTTCTCTGGTTTGGCCTGATGAGAACTATTAGCTGTGTATCATCAAGGACTCTAAATATGCCCCTTCCTTATTTTTATATCTTCTCATGACCTGCAATGCTATTTTGTAGTTCAGCATAACTAATGTTTTTCTCACTCTCCGTTTAAGCAATTGAGAGGTTAAGGCGTGAAGGAGAGCCCCTTTGTCACTGTGGAGCAAAAGCCGCTGGTGCAGACATTATTGGATTCAATCGGGTCTCACCCACTGGCTTTCGCAAGCAGGAACTGTGTAGGCTCTGACATCTTGAATTTACAAGTATCTTTTATTCACCAGAAGTAATTGTCATCACAGAGGCTTAATGCTGAATAACTGGTCGTTTTCTGGTTCTTTCCGAACTCTGGCTGGCTGGTTCAACTCAGCTGTTCTGGCTCAAACTCCTCTCCAGGCTGATTCAATTTGGCTTCTCTCTGCTCCTCACTGAATTGCTCTGCCTGGCTTCAAACTACCTCTGTCAATTTGTTTTAATCTCCCTTCTTATTCTCTGGCTTCTACTGCCTCTTCATGAAGTCACAAAGGAACTCAACTCCACTGCACTCGCTCAACTGGTTCCCCACTGACTGCCAACTGCTGACCTCAACTCAACTCAATTGTGCTGTCTTCTCTACTGTACTCTACTCCTTGTCTTCTCTCTACTGTACCTTCCTCTACTGCCGCTACTCTCCTGGACTTAAGTAGCTTTTCTTTCTTGCCTGTTCTCATGAGAGTTGGGTGTGTCCTGTGCTCTGATTTGTTACTTTGTCTGTCCCTCAATTAGATGGCATTGTTTGGGATTAAAGGTGTGTCCTCTGGGCATGTCAGTATTCCACCTAGAGGGATTAAAAGTATGTATCATGTCTGCATTCCAGCTGGATCACACAGACTTAGAAGGTCTTTGGAAATGATACCTTGTCAGAGCAACCATGTTGCTGGATTAAAATTCTTCTACACTTAAATATATATTTCTGGCAGATTCTCAAATGTTTAAAATTGCTAGCTAATATTTGCACACATTCTACAATCTGATGCTCATAAGTTGAGAGTTTTCCCATCTCCTGTCACTGTAGAAAAATTTTCTACAAAAAGAAAAGTGAGGCATGAAAAAAGAGTTGTGATTATAATGTTCTGTTCCCTTTAGGCATCAAAGAAAGAAATTTCAAATGGCTGAACATCATCACAAAACTAGTTGAACATTCCTTTAAATTGTTTTGTTTTTAACAATACATGCTCACTGAAAAAAACTTTCTTTCAGGAACTTAAAAAGTCATCTGTGGTAGCACACAGCTAAAATCCCAGTACTCAAGAGCCTAACTGAGGAACATCCCCTGAAACCAAGAGTTCAAAGCCATCCAGGGCAGCATATAGAAAACTCTTCTCAAAAGTAAAATGAATGAATGAATGAATGAACGAATGAATGAACAATAAGATGTTTAAAGTCATTTTAATAGGAAGTCTCAGAAACAATAGGAGGAGACCAAGAAGGAAAGGAAATAGATTAGTCCGTGTGAACACCAAAATAATAAATTACACTCAGTCATTCATTGTGTCTCATTCCCCTTCAAGTGTAATATTGGTTCACTTGCTTGGGCAAGTCCACATAATATGATCTTTTTAATTGTATCTTTTTAATTGTAGGAGACCAAATTCAGTAACTAACTATATTCTCTGCAAATACAACTAAGGGAAAACTGAAAATACAAAATAAAGTTTATTTCTATTTTTCCAAGGCTATTATCTATTTCCTTGGTAACTCCACATTTCTAATGTCTTCTCACCAGTTGTCCATCCTGAGACGTCGTAGCAAACAAACATTTTAGGAAGAAACTGACTGGCACATATGGGGGGATTATTTTGATAACTGCTCTACCCCACCACGTATCTCAAGACATTTGTCCAAGTACTGTGCTCCGCTCCGTGAGCAGAAGGGTTCCGAATGACAGCTTGGTATGACATGTGAGAACTCTGCACATGTCAGCACTCATTGTATTGTAAGACTAAACACAGCAGCTGTTCTGCACCAAAGCCATGATTTTGTTTTGTTTAGTGAAATAGTTCTCATTTTTGTCTATTAATATCTCATATTAGTAAGTGAACATGCACCATGTGAACAAAAAGAACATTTTCTTCCTACACAAAAAAAGAATTTCTAGGAACTATACCGCCAAGATTACATAACAATTCATGGTAAGTCATTTGTTTTGACACCATCATAAGCCATCCTGGAATAGAATAAAGTTTTAGCACTTGAAAGCGCTGGACAGTAAAGCCTGTGTTACATTAAAAGTCGGCAATCCTGTAAAAGCACTATATATATATATATATATATATATATATATATATATATATATATATGCAATTTTATAGTTAATGAGCCCTAAATTATCACATCATCATGGAACTCAAATAGAGCCTCATCCTATCATCCTACCTGTGACCTCCTTTATATTAATACTTTTTCTTAAATATTCACAGCCACTGATATCTCCCTCCCTCCACTCCCCTATACACAGAGAAAGAGAGCTAGGGAGAGGGAGAGAAAAAGAATAGAATTGATTAATAGCATTGGAAAGGGGTCATCAACAAAAGAGAGGGCTGTAACTTAGAATTCTTGAGCAAGGGAAATAAATGAGGATACTAAGGGTCTGAGAGTGCAAGATAATATAGCATTTATAATTAGGCTGTGCATTATGAATTATTAACTTTGGTCATGTAAAAGACTGCTAGTGGTGGTTTAACCAGGCCTGCAACATTTTATCACAATTGAATTTTAAATTAGACCTAATTTAATTACAAAAGCAAATTACCTAAAAGCATCAGCAAATAATAATCCTTAATTTCCAAAAAAGAGTGGTTACATTTTTCTTTCATGAACTTTATTTTTTTGTAATCTTCCAGGGGATATTTTTTTTAATGGAAAAATTCAAGTTAGAAAAATTCCAGTCTTTATCAACAGTTTATAATTTTGTATATATACTGCTAAGGCCTGGCAGCTGTGAGTTCAATCCCTCCTACTCACATAGTGGGAGAAGAGATTTCTGCCAGTTGTCCTCTGATCTCGAAATGATTATATTAAATAAAATAAACGTGATTTAGAAAGACAGTGTTACATGCTTCCTTTCATATATGAAACCTATTTCTAAATGTGTATGTGGGAGGGGACCTAGGAAGAAGAGCATAAGAGGGGAAAGGGGGACCTTAGAGGTAGAAAAAGGGATAATGGAAATCATGTAACATCAAAACAGAAAGAGGAACTATTTGGCAAAAGGGAGGAAACCATCAAGAAAAAGGCAGGAAGTTTACAGAAAGGCAGCCAGAGGAGAGAATAAATTAGACAAAGGTGCAAGGAGAGATGTATGAAAATACCATATTGAAATTACCTTTTATGCTGACTTTACAAATTAATAAAAAGGAAACAAATCAAATAGGAAAGGGGTCGGTGAGATGTGCTAAGAAGAGGGAAAATAAGAGTAGAAACATGATCAGTTCCTCTATCGGCACGTTCTATATAGGTATAATTGTTCAAGAAATTGGCTTTTTAAAGATGTGTCTGTGTGGGTGTGTCATCTGTGGGTGCCTGTAGAGGCCAGTATAGGACATTAGAGCTCCTGGACTGGAGTTACAGGTGGTTACAAGCTATTTGATGGGCATCAAACGGTCCTGTGGACAAGGCACAGTGTCTCCTAAGCACTGAGCCATCTCTCCAGACCCTCAGTATATTATCTTACAATCACTCACTTGTACGCAAGCTTGTGAAACTAAATATCAAATATTTTCAAAGCTTTATCTGTAATTAGAATACATTTCCTTTTTTCTTTATAGATGGTTATGTCCTTCGGAGTTACCTGGTGGACAAGTAAGGCCCTTTCTTTCTACTACTGTATTTGTTAAAAAATAACATAGCTTCCTTAAGGGAAAAGGTACTGATATCATTTACATAATGCAATAGATGGGACTATCATAATAAGTTAAAAACTATATTATATTCCTATCAATAAATAGTGCTAATAACAAAGCTGAAAGTGCTAGTCTGAACTAGAAAGAAATCCTGGCTCTGTCATAGAGAATGGTCTTCTATACTCATTGAGCGGTTTGTTCTGCAAACACTGAAGACACACAGGGCAAAGACACTACCCTTTTCATTAATTGCTGGCATTTCACTCACTAATTACTGTAGTATTTGAGCTGCACTAATTAGAGCCAATTAGTGTTGTGCAACTAGTGTCAGTGTCGTAGGTATGAATATCACCAGTTACTAGTTCATAGTTTAGCTCCTAACTGAAGATTTTTCCACACACACGCTAGGCAGAGTACTCTATTAGGTTGCACTTATTGAGAGTATGGCCCCCCACACACACAAAAAAAATAGTAATCAATGACTCTTATATTCTTATGAATAAGACCTTTGCATAGTCTGTCACATCCTGGTACTTAAGCCCTCCTCCAAAACACTTTAAGATTCTACTCCAAGAAACCCAGAACAGATAATTACCCCACTATCAGGTTGAGTCTTACAGCAATAGAAATATTTGTAAAAGTGACATAATGAAAGAACCAAGGGTTCACAAACAGTTTACCGCAAGCAACAAGACACACATCTAAGTAGGACCAAGCATGTTACGAGTTCTGTCAGCAAAACCAGTAGAGAGCAGACAGAAGAACAACTGTAACAGCTTCGTCTTCTTCAGCACATGCATTACAGTGGTGGGCACAGGACTTCTGATTAAGCTTTGTCCTGGGAAAGATGCAAACTGTATGAAAAGAGTGTCTTGCAGATAAGAACACATCTTCATCTGTGGTGGCTGCGGGATTATTGGGAGAAAATGGAGAAAGGGTGACAAGTGACTATTGGTTCACTCTCTGTGAAAATGGATGCGTCAATAAACGTTATAGAATAGATGATAGGAAAACCTGTCCTCTGCATTCACGTCAGATTTCCATTAGCCAAACTCTCGCTCCACCTCGGAGAAAGGATCCAAACAGATGACGTAGGGAGCTCACAGCATCTGCCACAGTTAGCAGCAATGAGGGGCCTGCTGCTGCTTCTGCTGCTGCTGCTGCTGCTGTTGCTTCTGCTGCTGCCGCTGCCGCTGCCGCCGCCGCCAAGATAAAGCCAGAGATAGGAACCAAGAGCATCTCTACCCTAAGTGACACAGCTACCTCACAGCTCCGACACTGAGAACTGTATCCTGTGTTTCCAGACTGTGTTTATATTTAAAATATATTATGCTATTGGTTAAAGATCACTCATTAGACCACATGCTTTTACAATCAAAGCTTACATCTGACTCATGGTTGTAAGTCTCCCCGTGCATGAGATTGACTCAATGTTTGCTAACAGACTACTCCATGAAGATTCAGAACTAAGCAAAACCTGAAACCATCTAAAAGCAGCCAAAATTACTGTGGTGGATGTGATCTCCACAGTAAGTAATATAAAAATAACTTCTGTGATGACCATATATTCCATGATTAGTATTTAAATACTTTATGCTTCATACATACACATTGTAACTAGAAATACGTGGAAGTGATATGGCTGTTTTCTGTACCAACTCTTATATCTCATTTATCTAAGATTTAGAACTTTCAAAACTCAAAAAATTAAGCTATGAATCTAGTATTAATAGATGTTAAAATTCATTGCAATTTTGGACTGAGGCCTGTGGAAGACAGTTGTGCCTTGTCAATTCAGTTTATTCAGTTCTGCGCCCGTTCTTTTCTGTTTTGTTTTTGTTTTCGTTTCCTGAGACAAGGTTTCCCTGTGTAGTCTTGCCTGTCCTGGAGCTCTCTCTGTAGACAAGACTGGCCTCAAACTCAGAGATCTGCCTGCTTCTGCCTCCCCAGTGCTGGGATCAAAGGTGTGTGCCACCAAAGCCCAGTTCTTAGGCAGTTCAGAAGTCCTGTGCCCATGCAATGCTCACGGTAGAGCACAGTCTGTGTTCTCAAGGCGTGTGTTTGCTCTTCTGTTTATAGAATGGATTAGGAGTCGACGAAGCCAGGGAGGGAAGATGGAGACATAAACTTGAAACCTTCGTCCACTTGCACATACACACCGTCACTTTTCACCTCTAAATGCTTCTGATATATGGCAATCATCTTAGTGCTGGCTTGTTTCATATGTTAATGTTGGGAAGATATTTTCTATGAACTGAATTTTTTTCTGTGTTTACAGCGATGGAGAAATCTACGACGACATCGCCGATGGTGAGTCTCATACAGGGCCCACCACGGGGCAGTAAAAACAGCTTGCTGGCTCAAGTAGAGCCATCACATCTGATCAGAATTTAAATTTCTCAAAAATAAGAAGAAAGGTAATGATCTGGTGTCATGGGGGCGGGGGATCGTCCCCCCATCAAGGTTAGGAAATCAAGGAAAAGAAGCGTATTTATTCTCCAGAGTGAGAAAATATGAGATAGCCATGATGGGGTAGGCCTGTAATCCTAGCACTTGGGTGGTAGAGGCGGGAGGCACAGAAGTTTAAGGCCAGCCTTAACTACACAATGAAAATTGGGGGCAAGCCTAGGCTACAGAGACCCTGTGTCCAAAAAAAAAAAAAAAAAAAACAAAACAGAATGGGGAAGAGATGAAAGACGTGAGAAGGAGTGAACGGTAGAATTATTTAGCAAATTTTGTATTATAACATGAGTTAAGGGTTTTTGTGTTTTTTTTTTTTTAATCACAGAAAAACATATTCTTGGTCAATAAATAGGGCCTTGTTTTAAAACTAGCAGTATCCATACTACAGCAACCAAAATATGCAAGAAGTTAACAATGAATTATCTTTGTAACCTCTAAAATATGAAATTAACAAATACTGAACAAATGAACAAATACTGAAATATAACAAATGTAAAGTTGGCAAATGCTGAAATATCAGACCAACAAATCTTTGGTCAATTAACAAGTACATATTTTATAAGTGATAACACTAGTAAAATCTTCAGGTGCTTCTAAATGATGGCCTAAAGCATTAATCTCAACAAAATGTGCACAGTTATGCGTGTTGCTCTTTGGCCTGAGTGTACAGGTGCGCCTGTGCAGCCACGTGTGTGTGTGTGTGGGTGTGGGTGTGTTTTGTTAGATACAGGGTCTCACTCTACAGCTCCTGGTGGCCTGGAACTTACTCTCTAGACCAGGCTGGTCTTGAACTCAGAGATCCACCTGCCTCTGCTTCTCAAGCACTGGGATTAAAGGTGTTTGCCACCACACCTGGCTCCAGCCAGGGTTTTTGTTGTTGTTTGTTTTGTTTTTACATCTGTTCTGAGATCAACCCATCTCCTTCAATTGCAAACAACTCTTCACAGACTTTGTCATCACTAGCCCCAACCCTTTAGTCTTTTAAGATTTCAATACTTGTTTGTTGATGCTTAACTAATCTCATTTCCAAAAGGTGATGGAATGCCAGAAAAACTAATCTTTAGTCTTATCTGATGGAGAATAAATCTGTCTAGGCATGTTGATGAAACTGGATTGTCAATGAATGTATCTTAGTAAGGGTTAGTTACTATTGCTGTGATGAAACACCACAACCAAAAGCAATTTGGGAAGAAAGGGTTTATTTCTATTACACTTTTTAAAAAATCATTTTGGTTTTTCAAGACAAGAGTTTTTCTGTGTAGCTTTGGCTATCCTGGACTCACTTTGTAGACCAGGCTGGCCTCACAGAGATCTGCCTGCCTCTGCCTCACAAGTGCTGGGATTACAGGTGTGTGTCACCACACTTTCACATCACTGTTCACCATCAAAGGAAGCCACAACAGGATCTCAAACAGGGTAGGAACCTGGAAGCAGGAGCTGATGCAAAGATCATGGAAGATGCTGCTTACTGGCTTGCTCAGCCTGCTGTCTTATAAAACCCAGGATCATCAGCCCAGGGATGGCACCACCAACAATGTTTTGGGCCCTCCCACATCAATGACTAATTAAGTAAATGCCCTACAGGCTTGTTTTCATTTTCTTTTTATCTTAATTTGGAGAGATTGAATTGCACATATTTCTAACTTGAAAATCTTAAGATGCATTACATATAATCTGTATTTAAATATTCAAACCCAGCACTTAAGATACGGAGACAGGAGGCTCAGGGATTGGAAGTCCTGTTCACTGATCTATGGAGTTTTTGAGCAGTCTGGGCTTCATGAGGCCCTGTCTCCAAAACCATGATAGACAGTGGTAATAGAATGGTTTAGTAGGTGAAGCGCATGTTGCAATCACAAGGAGCTGAGTTTGGTTGCTAGAACATACATGAAAATAACAGGCACAGTGGCAAGTGCTTTTAATCCCAGTCCTGGGGAAGAAGACAAGAAGACCCCCTCTAACTGGTGAGATTGAAACAGTGAGAGCGCTGTCTCAGGGAAAGCACCAGGTTCCTAAGGATGTCCTTAGAAGTCGTCCTCCACACCCACATGCATGTGCACAGACATGAACAGGCACAGACACAGACACATGCACAAGCCCAAATAAACAGTAATGAGTGAATCAATGAAAGCTGTATTCTTCTTCTTTCAGGTTGCATCTATGACAATGACTAGCACTCAGCTCTGTTCATTCTCCTGTGTCTGTCAGTGGACAACATGGATTTTAATTGGAATTTTCTTGGGTATCATAGGAAAAAAAAACCGAATGTACAAAATGAAATTTTAATCTCTTTATAAAGCTTTGAAATTTTAAACTTGGAAAACGAACTCTGTTTAATATGTCAGAAGATCAGTAGTGAGATAGAAGAGTTACTAAGTGTCTCCTTTTTTTCTTTCTTCCTTTTTTCTTTTTAAGTGGGGGTTTCTCTTTCTGTAGTTCAGGCCATCTTCCATCTTCCTGCCTCAGCCTCCAAAGGGCTGTTATGACAGATGTGAGCCACCACACCTGGCTTAAAGAGCTCGTTTTGCTTCAGCTCTGCTCTTGTAATGGCACTTTTCTTAGACCATCAGTTGGGAATTTCCTCTGCTGTAAAAAAGAAAGACATTCCAAAGGAAGAAGAAAAAAGAATACAAAGGAATGTTTAATTTCACAAGAAGACAACCTATTGCTTTTCATTATCTGTTCAAATTACCTACCCAAAAGAGGAAGAGTTAATTCCTCTACTTTCCAGAAGACTAGAGCAGCAGCAGAATATTTCTATCAAACTGGTTCCTCTTTGTTCACCGTGAAATCAAATGTTAATTATTTGATAAGCATGCTTCACATTCTGTATGCACATTCTAAGATTAACCTGAGTCCAAGAGTCTAAAGTCTTATTTTTGTGGATCCATGCACACATGGTTGAATTCTGTGCTCTGTTTAAATACCATTGTTGGCTAGAGAAATGGAGGGGGACTGCAGTTGTGAACACTGCAAGGAAGAATGTTGAAACTCGCTCTCATTTTACAGTGATGCTTTACTGTGAAGTCTCTTAGAAGGGGGTTTAGTCTTGCTCTCAGTTGCTTCTGCAGAACTTAGTGATGTTTAGAACCACTTTTCTAGAAAGTTGTTCAGCAGAAGGAACACGGGCAATGAACGACAGTGCTTGGCCTGGGGTGGCCCCCCTATTGAGACATATTCCAGGCTGTAAAGCACTGGCTTTTGTATGCTAAGAACACTAAGCCCCATGATCTAAGACACAATGCCTCAACAGCCGAGAAGACAGCAGACTGGGGAATGTTTTTCAAAATTAGTAAATCCTAATGCTGCTCCTATTATTGACAGTAATGCAGCCTTGGCAATGTTCATTCCCTTCCTGGCGTTCTTATAGAATAGGATTCAGTTCAGCTTATCCCAGCATTTTCCATACCAACTATTTCAAGCTTTTATAGTTCCCCCATCTAGGATGCACACTTCAGAAGGTTTTTTTCTTGTTTTAAATCATTAATTAAATAATGATTCATATATTATCTATGTAAATTGCAAAGATCCTTTGGAGCTTCTGAAGAGAGATCCTGTTGAATTTTTTTTTAAGTCAAAAATTGTATGGGATAGAGAAAGAACTCAGTTGGTAAAGTGTTTACATGGCAAGCTTGAAGACTGAATCCAATCAAAAATCCCCAGGTAAAAAACATGTATGGTGACAAGTATTTGCAGTCCCTGTGCTGGAGAGGCAGAGGTAGGAGTCCCTGGTCAGCCTCTCCATCCTAATTGATGAGTCCCACACCAATGAAAGACTTGTACCCAAGGGGACAGACAATGACTGAGGAACAGCAGCCTTTGGACGCCATGTGTAGATGCCCATTCACACATAGAAACATGTACACACAGACTGAAAAATCCATAAAATAGATCAAAGCCTTCAAAAGAGATTTCTATTATGTGTTTTGGCTTAGTTTTGTGAGGCAGGGTTTCCTCTGTGTAGCCCTGGCTGACCTGGAACTCACTCTGTAGACCAGGCTGGCCTTGTACTCACAGAGATCCTCCCATCTCTGCCTCCAGAGTGCTGGACTTAAAGGTGTGCACCATCACCACCCAGCCAATTGCTTTGAAATTTTAAGAATGTCAGCAGCTTCTACAGCTCAATTAATAAGACACGAGGCTCTGAGTCTTCTGGGCTGGAAATGACTCACCTCAAATAGCCTCTGATTAGGAATTAGTTTGGTGGCATTAGCCAGCATGTATTTTTGTGGTGAACTTCTTTTATCACTAGATAAAAAATTACATGGCGTAGAAGTGGTTGCTTGCTAACATTGGCATCAAATATAAATTATATGCTGCCTGCATTTCCAGTCATTTTCTCTGATTAAGGTTTGCAGGAATTCAATGCAAATGTCAGGTTCTAAAGTCCAAATTAGATCAAGAGAATATATCATCTTTGATTTATATTCAAAGAAATGGACAGACACCTATGAGAGATTTGTGTAATAATTATTTAATATATATTTGAAGTATTAACTTTAATATACTAAATGTGATTTTGTTGTAGATTGTGTGTGGAATTTTGTCATGTGAGAAGAGCTGCCAATAAAATACCTTTTCAGCAAGTGACCCTGCCTCCTGCCTCATACACATCAAGGCCATGGGCTTTCCTCTCCCTAGACTTGATTCTGTATCTACAGAAGAAGCCTATCTGCATGACCCATGTATCATCAAGGGTCCTATTCATAACTGAACTCTTCCCTGCTGCCTCTTGATACATTGCTTCCTATTTTGTCTTAGAAATAGATAGCTGAGTACAATTCTGTGCTACTCCCTGCAACTTAAATTTAACCCGTGTTCAGACTGCTTAAAAGGGAAGACATCACAACCCGAATCAAAGCTGTGACCAAGGACCCCATTTCCTCCCAACTTCTCTCCTTCCTCCGTCCTCCATTTATTCTCTTCATTTTCATTCTACCTCTTCTCTCCCATCTACCTCCTAGCCTCCTTCTCTCCCTCCTTCTCTGCCATGTCTCTCTTTTCTCCCTCCCTTTTTTTCTTCCCTTCTTTTCCTTATCTTTAATTTCTCCTGCGGTGAATCAGTTTCTCTGTATATTTAAAATACACTAAAATATTTCTCTAAGAAAACCTGAAATTTTTAACTTGAACACAAATACCGCTTCACCTTCAACCCATTTCAGCATTCCTCCTCTCATTCCGGTGAAGTACATCAGATTCCTCCAATCGTGTGAAATTTAATGAACCAAAGGCTCCCACTACTGTGCTCTGGGAGACATCACCAGGTTTGTCAGGATTCCTACAGGCTGTACTAAGGATAACAGGGGTAGGGGCTACATATATAAAATGTTCACCAAGCAAATTCAGTCGAGGCCTCCCTAGAGCCCTTGCTAACCCCTCCTCAGAGTTCCAGCCATCCTTCCTCGTGCCTTCGCTGAGCCAGGGATCCTCCACCTTTCCTGGCCGGCTCTCTCTCATGAGAGGGAGAGAGACAGAGACAGAGAGATCGAGAAAGAGAGCACCATTTCTTTCCTGTCCGTCCCCCAAAAGAAAACCCTCGCATTTTTAGCTTGTCTGTGGTGTCCGATTTCCAGGGAATCCAGACCAAGCACAGTAGAGTTAAAACATTATTAAAATTTGTATCTTCACCCTGCGATAAACTGATTCAAAAAAACTGGGAGAGTGATTTTGGAAGGCGTTTGTAAGTAACCCTAAATACGAATCCAAAGCCAGGTTTGAGAGTTCCTCATCCCGTTCATCCTTTCTCAAGGCTCGCAAAATACACTCAGACTCCAGACTGCTCCAGCTTGGTTTCTGCCATGATCACTTTAAAGTCATTTCTATGTGCTGTCCGAAAAGAGCCTTGTAGTAATCAATCTTCATTTTCAGCTGGATGGGTGGTTCTACAAGGGTGCTTTCAGAAAAGATTAAGGAGGACGAAAGACACACCCTGAATGTGGGTAACACTCTCCCTGAGGCCTCAGACTGAAGAGAAGGAGAAAGCCAGCTGAGCACCCTTTTCTCTGCTTCCTGACCCTGGACCCAATGAGACAACACTTCACCCTTCTGCGGCCCTGCCTTGCCCACATGGTGGATGGTAAGTGCTTCAGTCAGGGTTCTATTGCTGTGAAGAGACACCATGGCCAGGGCAACTCTTATAAAGGAAAACGAACCTTTAGCTGGAGCTGGCTTACGGTTCGGAGGTTTAGTCCGACATCGTGGAATGCAGGTAGAAGTGGTGCCAGAGAAGTAGCTGAGAGTTCTACATCTGGATCCATACGCGGGAGGAAGAGAAAGACACTGGGCCAGGCACTGAGCACTGAAATCCCTATGTCCACTCCATGGACACACTTCCTCCAACAAGACCACGTGTCCTAAAGGTGTCATTCGCTATGACTCTATGGGGGCCATTCTGGTTTTTTGTTTTGTTTTGTTTTGTTTTTTGATACAGGGTTTCTCTTTGCAGCCTTGACTGTCCTGGATTCGCTATGTAGACCAGGCTAGCATTGAACTCACGGCGATCTGCCTGCCTCTGCCTCTCTCTCTCAAGCTGTGGGGCTAAACATAGCCTTTTTTCCTTCAGATTTTTTTTAGTTAGGTATTTTGACACAGCAATGAGAAAAATAACTAATGTCCACCTCATAGGACGCCAGATGGGAGTCACCCTCTGACCCCAATTGATTAGGCTTCCTCTACATCCTTTCTCATTAGCATCCTAGTATCCCACCACTCAAGCTTGAGACTCAGGAATTAGGGTCTACTCTTTATCTTCTGTGTCCAGCGAGACACAGAGCTTCAGGAAAACAAGGACTCTTGCCTGATTTGCTTTTATATCTTTGCATAAAGTGGTATTTGAAGCTATTACTAATATTCTTGATAATGGAAGAGTCAGCAGGTCACGTGTCTGTAGGAATGTGTTAAATCTGTAGGCTGCCACTGTTTTTAATTACTATTTCAAATGCCATAACAGCTTCAATGAACTGAAGGACTAGCTCAGTTATATCTATTCTACTCCCCAAAACATAGGTTACTGCTGAATTTAGATTCATTCACTGAAGAGATCATGGGCAAGGTCAAGACGATCGCAATAGTGGTCCAAGCTGGGCTTTCTGGAAACAGATGGTAGGACGGGGTATATTTTACAACTTGTCTCTTAAGGACTGGTATCCATGAAAGGAAGAGGCAGCAAAACTGAGCAAAGAAAATGGTTGCATGTGATACAGGCTTGGCAAAGCTTGGAGCAACCAGAGAAGGAAGGCTCTGGGTAAATGCTTCATCTGTTGTCTCCCTTTAGACAAAGTAGCAGGCCTTTTAACAAGACCCCCTCAGACTCATCACTGTGCGAGGCTCCTCACCCCAGGGGAGGCATAGTCTTGTGAAAGATGAGTACAACCGCAGCCGACTTGGTAGTGACAGTAGCTGGCTGTCAGCATAAGTTGTACAACCTTCAACAAGATTCTGCGCCTGGCAAGAGGTCTCAAGATCTTTTATTTCTAAAATATGAAATTATATGCTTAGAGTTAAAGTTAATTGTAACAAAATTCCTAATTTTAAAAGTGTGGATATATGAGGTATGGACATATGTGTACATGGGTTCAGGTGTATGAGCAGGCCAGAGATGCTTGATCCCCATGGAGCTGGATTATAGGCAGAATTATAGGGTATGATTCTACCACTCAGGGTAGGTGTAGGAACCAAGCTTGGGTCATCTGCAGGAGCAGCAAGTACTCTTAACTACTGAGCCTTTGTTCCGGTCCCCAAATTAGTTTTAAAAGAAAACCAGAATGTATTTTGTTTGCATATTAAGCTCAAAAATGTATTTCTCCTACATATTCTTCCTCCTTTTTTCTCAATAAGTTGGTCCTCCTATATCCTCTGCTCACTTTGGGTAGATCTGTCAATGAATAAATGATTGTATCTGATGAAAGCCACTGGTGTTTATGATGCCACAATGGCAGCTTGGTATTCAGCTTCTGGTCTGGGTGTGGTAGAGAACAGTGGGGACTGTGGCAAACTACAGAACATAAACCCTGGGCACAGGAGTAAGTTGCTAGTTGTGATAGATATTTTCCTTTCAGCTCTCCAGATGCCCCATTCCAGCCTTCTTGCTGCTGTACTGTGCCCTTTGAGCCTAACCTTTATCAGCTCCCTCCAGAGGATCACATGACTTCTAGCTTCCAGTTTCATGTGGCCCCCAGGCAACAGCTACAGAGCTACAGAGAGGAAGGTTTCTTCAGAACCGTTCTGGGGGAGTCACCGTAGATGGTTGTGCCCTCACCTCCCTGAAGTTCCAACTCTCTCAGACAGACCTTTCCACATAGTACTGGCTCTCTGATTGCATCCCTTCCCTCTCACCTGGCTCCTTCAGGATTGAAGGCACACCCAGTGTCAGCTGCAGGAGATTTCTCTTTATTTGGTAGTTTCCATTCACTGCCTCCACATTTGTAAACAAGCCCTTTGTTGTTTCCTTTGACTTCTCGGTTAACCATTTGTTCTCCACCTAAACCCTAAGGATACATGACTCAATTCCAATGGCTTATGAGTCTCCCATGTCACCAAGTTTTTCTAGATTCTAGATATCCATGCTTTATAGTCATGCCAGAAGTAATTAAAGAATACCTTATAGACAAATGGGCATTAAAAAGTAAAAGTGTGGGAACTGTGATGATGGCTCAGTGGTAACAAGCACTTACTGTTTTTGCCAAGGGCTCAACTTCAGCTTCAAGCATCTGTAACTCCAGTTCTGTGGGACCTGACACCTTCTGGCCTTTCTCAGTATCTGAACTCACATGCACACACACACACACACACACATACACACACAATTAAAAATAAGAAAATCTGTTTTAGAAAGTACATTTAGTGTGCTCACATTCTTCAATGTCCAAGACATTGCAAATACTGTGATTTAAAACCAAATAGAATTCACAAGCCTTTAATCCCATTGCTCAGAGGCAGAGGCAGAGGCAGAGGCAGAGGCAGAGGCAGAGGCAGAG